AAGGTCCCTTCCAACCCAACACACGCTGTGATTTGATGATCCACCTCCATCCTCACGTTCATTTGGTGCCACTCAAACCATCCCCGTAGCCCCTTCAGGTCCTGGAAGGCTCCTCCCTCCCTCCCTCCCTTCCCCATCCTCTCATCTCTTCCCGGGATCTCCTCACCCTTTTTGTCCTTCTGTGACCTTTCCAAACACTGCCTGGAAGAGACTGGGGCTGGTTTGGGCGCTCACATTCAAGAGCATTCACTGGTTTCCTCACAGCTTTGCCAAAAAGGACTGAGCTTCCTCAGTTTCCTTCACCTTGGAATGGGAGCCGTGCACCCCCACATCAGGCTCTGGGGGGAAAGTCCTCCCAAAAAATGGGATTTAGGTAATAAAAGGAGAATTGAGGAGAGATTTGGATTAAACAACGCCGCTGGCAGCAGCAAAAAAAATCCCAGTTGATGTGCAGCCCACACAATAACCCCAATTTTTGCTCCTTCTCCAGCTGTTGGGTGATAACTGCAGTGACTGGTAGATCAAGGATGGACACACAGACCAGGGGCTGCTTTTGTTATGTTTTTAAGTCATTTTTATGGTCCTAAATGTCCAGATGTGCATCTCCCATCGGGCACATGGATGGCATCACAGATCCACCCAAATGTTGGTGGAAAAGCTGGGACACAACCTGGGGAAAAAACCCTCCCATTTTGGGAAAACCCGCTCATAAACTGGATTCCCCAGCTTCTTTCCCTTTCTTTTGAGAAATAAGAGGCCAAAAGCTGCCTTAATGCAGAATCTTTACGCTTCGATCCAAGCAAGTAAAGGACAAAGCGTGCCTGAACTTTCCAGAATCACATTTCCAAATGCCAGCCGCTTCGCTGCCAAATGAGGAGAGCATCGGATTTTCATCTCCACGCAGCAGGCGGCAGCAACGGGGACTGCATTGGGGCTGGGAAAAAACCCAAATTCAAGGGGGGTTTTGTGGAGCTCCCTGCGTTTTTCCGAGCTCGCGAAAAGAAAATCCCGGGAAATTTCCGGGAAAATTGGGGAAAATCCCAGAAAAATCCCAAGTTTTTGCTTCCCGCCGTCATTGCGTGCGGAGGAAATGAGATTAGAAGGTGTTTGGTGTGGGGAAAGGGGGAGAGGGTGCAGGGGTGCGATGGGCACCCGTCCTTCTCCATCCTTTTCAGGATCCCCTCCAGATGCGAGGGATCTCGCTGCATTGGGAGTTAAAAACTGTTGAGAAAAGGGGGATTTGGGAGGGAAACAGAGAATTTGGGAGAGGAAAAAGGGAAATTGGGAGAGAAAAGAGGGATTTGGGAGAGAAAAAGGGGAATTTTGGGAGGGAAAAGGTGAATTTGGGATGGAAAAGGGGGAAATTGGAAGGGAAAAGGGGGAAATTGGAAGAGAAAAGGGGAATTTGGGAGGGAATTTGGGAGAGGAAAGGATTAATTTGGGAGGGAGAAGGTGAATTTGGGAGGGAAAAGGGGAATTTGGGAGAGAAAAGGTGAATTTGGGAGAGAAAGGAATTTGGAAGAGAAAAAGGGGAGTTTGGGGAGAGAAAAGGGGAATTTGGGTAAGAAAAGATGGATTTGGGAGAGAAAAGGGGAATTTGGGAGAGAAAAGGGGAAATTGGGAGGGAAAAGAATTTGGGAGAGAAAAGGTGAATTTGGGATGGAAAAGGGGGAAATTGGGAGAGAAAAAGGGAATTTGGGATGGAAAAGAGGAATTTTGGGAGAAAAGAGGAATTTGGGATGGAAAAGGGGAATTTTGGGAGAGAAAAGATGAATTTGGAAGAGAAAATAGGGATTTGGGAGGGAAAAGGGCAATTTGGGAGCGTCCCGTCTGGACGTGGATTTCGGGAACAGGACCAGGATGGGGCCTGGGGCACCCCACGAGTGCAGGGGCACCCATGGGAGAGCCAGACCCACTGCAGGGACACCCCAATACCAAACCACGTGTGATTGGGGTCCCTTCTAGACCCCAAAATAACCCCCCCCCCCTCCTTTTTCCTTCCCCAGAGC